CGACGACGGCGACGACCACGACGACGACGACTACTACTGTTGCGACACCTCGACTACGGCTTCTGCTACTGCTGCGTTGTCGTACACACATACAGACACAGAGGCAAACAGACAGACAGGACAAGACAAGTCAAGACCAGACAAGACCAGACAAGACCAGACAAAACAAGAAAATGCAAGATGACACAGCACAACACAAATCACATAACAAGCGAACTTCGCGTACAAATACATCAAACTATATGCATATGCATAGATATACAGATGTATGTGGGAATTACCTGTTTATTTGTGTGTATGTATGTATGTATGTATGTATGTATGTATGTATGTATGTATGTATGTATGTACCCATCCATCCATCCATCCAACCATCCATCCATCCCATCCATGTGCTATCCATCCATCCATTCATCCATTTATTCATTGGTTCATTCCATTTCTATATACATACATACATACATACATACATACATACATACATACATACATACACACACATAATATATATATATATGCACATGTATATTCATTTATCTATGTATCTAAGTCTGCGTATCTACCTATTTATCGATTTGTTTATTTACATGCCCGCCTTTTTTACATATATGCATGTACATACATATACATATACATGTCAATTTGCATCTATATCTCCATGCACATGTACAAGTACATATACGTGAACATATGCATATACTTATTCTTTGCATTTACATGTATACATATGTATAGGTGTGTATATATATATATATGTATGTATGTATGTATGTATGTATGCTCAATAATACGTCGAACATGCCACGTCGCATGTTCTATACTCAGCTTTTTGTACAATGTACTGTACAACACATTGCTCAACTACGCATACTGCATTATTACATCGTACTTTCCTCGAAGACTGCACCACCTAGAGTACTCTGCTCTTCCTGCATGCAGAAACATTTATGTACATACACACACAGGCAATGTCATTATATATATATATATATGTATATATATATATATATGTATATATATATATATGTATATATATACCTACGTGTAAACATAAATACCTGTGTTCATTCATGTACTTATACATTTTACAGAGTTGTTCCGCGGCCGATGCAGTCCTGGCGTTGCCCCCACATGGAAGGTCCATGTGCCTGCAGAGCCGCAGCGGCAGCCCTCTCCATCCATCTGGCAGAAGGAAATGCGAGCTTTTGGGGCTCATGTACACTGTAGCTTGCACTGTTCATTTCATAGTGTATGATGAGACAGCACCATATACCTGTCATACTATGTATACCTACGGATATAAGATGCGGACTTGAATTCAAGGTGTTGGCATGTAACCTTCAGTGGGCAAAAGTCCCGCATCATTTATAGCGGCCCACGTCACTTGCACATGGACCCATGGTGTAGCTCATTGCCGAAGCTGACAAGAAACTGAAGCCCAGCAAGCCTTCAGGGCGTCCCGGAAGCAGCCACCAGCCACAATCACGTTCCGTGGAACAGTACCGGAAGAGACCTGACGGCGGAGAAGCTTTGTGCATTCATGCGTAGCAACCAGAGTAGCAACCAGCACGCACCTCGGTGAGAACGCGCCCACCCCCGCCGCAGAGGCAGCGACGGCAGCCTTGCAGCCGCATGGGTATTTTTCGCATAATCAGAACAAGAAGAAGAAGACTTTTAGTAGTAATTAATAATGGCAATGACTCAAAACTGCCATGGAATTGTGTGACCGAGCACTGCGAGAGCGGCCGGCTGCAACAAAACTCGCCCTTCACGAGCTTACAAAGTACCTGCTACTGCCATCGACCCAGTGTCGCATTTTGTTTACAGCGGCTGCTGGCATCCGTGCGCATCTCCTACGCACACCCCGACCTGAAGGTGACGTCCCACTGCTGTTGTTGCTATTATTTTCTACTACATTGATTTGTTTCTATGGTACTCCAGGAGACTAAACCGTAAAGCCCTCAACCCGCAGCAGCCGCAAAACTCCAAGCCCGGGTTCCGAACCGGCATAGGCGTGCCCTTATAGCACCCTTAACATTCCCCTTATATACCCTTACAAAAGTGCCTAAACCCTAAACCCTAAACCCTAAGTGCCGTTAAAATACCTTTATAACATCCGGGGCTCCGGCAGCCGCCGACGGCGAGGATGCGTCCCTTCTGGACCGAGGACGCACCCGAGCCTAGGTCCTCCACGAAGTCCACTTCGCCTCAGGATTCAGGGTTTTTAGGGTTTAGGGTTTAGGGTTTAGGGTCTAGGAGGATTTAGCAGTTTAGCGAAAAGGGTGTTTAGGACTTAGGGCTTCAGATGCCAATTTGAGGGCTTAGAGTGTGAGGCTTGTAGTTCAGGGCTTTGAGTTTATGGGGATGATGGTTGTAGTTGCGACAACAGATGTATTTCCCAACAAGACTTCCGGATTCTGAGAGGAAGCATGCTATTCGCTGTGCTGACGACTGCGAATTTCTATCACTCTAGATAAGAGTCTTATGCTAAGCACCGTCAGCTTCTTCAGTGTAGCCGGGGTCTAGGATGATATGCCTCGTCGCGTGAGACATATTATGAATCTGCTGGGTCCGTGCTTATGGAAAGAGGTTCGCTGGGGTGTAAGACGTGTCCGATGCACCAGCTTAACCAGATCAGGGTTTCCGGTCCGGCTTGGCGGCTTGTCTAGATGATGGCCTGTTCAAGTTGCTGAAAGACAGGTGGGGGTCCGAAGGACAATGCTCTTGTTACTACAGTCGGTGTGCAAAAGGAAATCTTCAATGAATGATGTCTTTGTCTTTCTTCTCTCATGCAGTCCTGGTCACTGAGCTGGTTCCCAACTGCAGTGGGTTGGTAGCCCCACACGTAGTACCCCAAAAAGCCTGGCCTAAACTCGGAAGAACGCAAAAGAAGAAACCTCTTGCTTTCTGCGAAGCTCCGCTCCAGCTCTTCTACAAGTGTGCAGATGAGCTTGGCCTCCTTGCTTCCGCCCATCTCTCTGAGTTTCCGGGCCGGTGTTCCCAAGTGCTGCAGGCCTTACTTCTTGGGGCTTCTGGACAGCTTTCTTTAATGGGACACTGTCGGATGACAGCTTGGCTTTGCACAACGTCCATGTGGGCAGTCGGGGTTCGCAGCCCGATACTCGATGTTTGAGGGCTTGCAACGTTTCAGCGGTCTCCGGGAAGAAAAACCGACAAGGTCGCCGGATGCCAAGGGGTCCGCTGTCAGACAATAATTGCAACCTATCTAACTTGATGGCTTTGGTATGCAAGAACCTACTTTCAGCCTCCGGACTCAGATGCTTCTTATGATGGCTCCAAGACCGCACAATGCTACACGATGTTGAATTTTATTGTCTCATACTGTGGTATAGTAGTTTATATTACCCTATAGTAACCTATACATCATACTTTGATATTTCGTCCTATATTAAACCGTATAACAGTCTTGAAATAGTTAGCTACAAGCCTCCGACTTCGGGGTCACATCTCCGAAAGCTGAGGCGGGCACGGGCTGGAAGGTTGCGAGATGATACTGCCTCCAGCAAGGCTTTTGATTGAACACCCTTTCCCGCCTAACGGTGCGGCTCAGCAAAATCCACGGTTGAGGTTCAGGGTTGTTTGCTTTTTTTATCGCGCCTTTTCTGCCTTCTGAGTAGGGATTTCTCGGGGTGTTGTGGGAAGTTACAGGGTGCAGTTTGTGGACCCAGGTAACTGGCGTAGGGCTTGTGGGTATGTTGCAACCCAAGTATTTCGGGACAGTTATGAAGAAGCCTTGTAAGAGCTTCTATCAAGGCGATTTAGGGGTTCCCATACAGGCTACCATAAGGCTGACCACAGGATTGCTATAAGGCCTAGATAGGGATTGCTGTGAAGGCTACTGCTAGCCTCATTCGGCAAAGCCTTCACTGAGCTTCGGAAAAGGAAACGGCCAGATACCTCAACCTCCCTACAAGAGGGCCCGAAAGACCGCGCCTTCAACCTTGAGCTTTGAGCTACAAGCCCGAGATACCGCACTTTTTCGTGAGGCGCCGGCTGGAAACCCATATGGATCCTGCAAGGATCTCGGTTGAGTTGTTACGATCTGTCTAATGTCATCTTGCGAATCTTGCGCCTACTTAGCACTGCTTCTCACTGTATCTTCAAACGAGTCTGTCCAAATCTTCCCCCACTCGCAGTCCTAAACCCTTGCTGGCTATGGTCCTCCAGAACCACACGCTGGCCCCTCATCGTCGTCATCTGCATCATCCGGTGCAATGCCCGATGCCGAAAGCCTGGCCCACAAATGCAGAACCAGAACGTAGTCTGAGACGACGCTGTAGTGCTTTAGGGCTTAAGGCTTGCTTATACTGCACAGGCCCGAGTTGTGGTCATGAAAGCGGCTGCGTTCGGAAATCGGGAAATTTCGAAAGGGCACCCCAGCTATCGATGGAAGTTCCCCCTCACGCAAAGCCACTAAGTCTATCAGAAACCGGCCGGGGCTACGTGCCATTGAGCACCAAACTCTCCGAGTTGAGGCGGAGGCGGCCCCCGCCAGGTGAGCGCTTCCCACTCCCTCGTCAGGCAGATTCTGGACGTGCACGGAACCGACGTGTCACGCAATCTCTCAGCATGCGCGGGTTTAGGGTTACCGGGTTCAGGGTTAACTTGGAAGCTCTGATGAGCACGAACTCCAAACCCTGGCATCCTGTTCGGACGAAGCCTCCGCCTGCAGACCTTCCAAACTGCCAGGGCGCAAAGGGGTCACCGTAGACCAGCCTAAGATGCTGACAAGGCAATGACGTAGATCGATGATATCATGCCTGCCTGCGTAGCGCTCAAGAGCAGTAACAGCAACACTGTCAGAGGACAAGCACTAAGCTTGCTAGAACTTTCTAGACGCTCTCACGGCTCCAGGAAGCTGTTGCACTGTATGGTTTGAGTCTGTCAATGCCTCCATTTTCCCGTGCTTCCCAAACCCAGGAAACCAAGCAAAACTTCACTTGACTCCGGATATGTAGTGAAAGCCAACCGATTAATCACCGTAATGTGGACACACACACACACACAAAATATGCCGCTCAAGGGAGGCTCGTGCACATTTTGTGACGGAAAGGTTGATTTTCGCCGAAACTAGGCTTCCTCATTGGGGCTTGGGAGGTTTATTGACCAGCGGCGATAGTCGCTTCTGCAGCTGCGCATCCTCGCCCGAACAGCCGGCGACGGTCCCTGGAGCAAGATGGGGCCCAACACATGGAGGGAGAATTGAACACAATGGAAGATGTAGATCACAAGAAGATGTGCATCCGCCTGAGCCATGCAACTTGGCACTCCAACCTTTTCCCCAAAGTTCTCATACTAATGTCAAACAACACCTTGAAATAACAACTGCGGTCCTCGTGTTATGACGTAAGTCAATGTTGGCTGAGTTGTTCCGCTCGCCGCCGCTAGGATGGTGCAGACGACGACGATGACGCGGACGCTGACGATGAGGAGGAGGAGGAGGAGGAGAAAGCAAAAGGTAGAGGTGGACCGAGGTGGATGATGAGGACGAACCGGATGATGTGGAATAACGATCACGACGGTGATGACGGGGATGCCACTGCTGATACCGAGGGTGCTGCCGGTGGTGGTGATGACTGGAACGAATTCATCGTTTGTTTCATGGTGCCGAAGCAACGCCAAAAGCAACGGCGTAGTAGTAGTAGTAGTAGTAGTAGTAGTAGTAGGCGTAGTAGTAGTAGTAGTAGTAGTAGTCGTCGTCGTCGTGGTGGTGGTGGTGGTGGTGGCAGTAGTAGTGGTAGTGGTAGTGGTAGTAGT